TATCTCTTGTTATTGTTGTTTATATCTTTAAAGCCACAATCCAGTGCATTGAAGCTAGCCCGAACACTCACTTGAGATTTAGTGTCTCTTTGGCCATTTAAATTTGTTCCTCTGAGCTTAGCCCTATTTTTAGTATTTTTTTTTTCATCACTTCTCTTTCAGTTCTTCTGAAATTTGGAAGTTCTACACTTCCAAAAAAACCCAATACTCCCGGAGTATTGAGCTTTTCACTCTTATAAATAATATTTGCTACAACATACTTGGGTTAAATTAAAATAAAATAGAAATTAAGAATTGTCTTTTATTTATGTCACACAAGCAGTTTGTTTTTAATTCTACAGTATGTGCTAGCGATATAAACCATTTGTTTATAGATTTAAATAAAATCGAATAGAACTAAAATATAAGAAACATTTTATTTATGTTTGTTCCGTTCAAAAGTTAAGGGGGGAAGGACTTTTAAAAACCGCACTGTATATGTTGGCAGTAACAAAACGTAGAAATATCCGAAAATAAAACTAATAAATAAGTTAAAAATAAAAGAAGTCATTGTATTTAATTTCATGTGTAAGTAATCATAATCGTACATTATATTTAGTTTCTTTTTCTGTCAATCGCTGTCACATTTAGTTTCTGCTGAACTATTATCATTATTATCGTCACTGTCATCACTATCTCCGTTATTTATATTTATAATAATTGGTTCAATATCATCCAACAAATTGTCAATTTCCCACATTTTTTTTCTGTTCAATAATAAAAACAGTTCTTTTAATGTTTTTAAAATCATCGCGTCACCATAGAAACAATGTTTTGACATTTGGCAAAATGTAGTACCTACCTTGTTTACTAGCAACAGATTTATTACGTTTATCATTGCATTTTCGATAAGTTTCACGTTTATTATGATAAATTCAGATAACTCTTCATTAGTGTTTTCAAATCGTGTTAGGTCACAAATGGTCACAAAATACGTTATAAATTTCATTTGAATATTACCAAAACTACCGTCCATGATGCTCTAACGAAGTATCGTCAGACTGGAGAATACACTAGAAGACCAGGATCAGGTAGAAAAAGGTGTAGAGATCAGCAGGACAAACGTTTTTTAAAAGATCTTTAACGTCAAATCTTCTCGCTAGTCGTTTTCTAGAAGCTCGAGAACTCATATTTCCTGCACGAGAAGAGTCCTGTACGAATGTAGTTTACCTTCTCATAAGCCATTAGCATGCTCATCGAGTTAACAAGATGAGATTTACGAATTTACAGTCATCACAGTGACTGTTCAGCAATGGAGTGTTTTGATATTTTCTGACAAGTCCCGTTTTCGCTTACGATCTCCATAACGTGTCTGGAGGAGACCTAAAGGACGATTTGCACCTTGCTGTATTTCACCCAGGATGCCGTTTAGTAAAGGAGCTGGTATGGGCGGGTATTTCTTTCAACCGTCGTACCGAATTAATTTTCATCTAACAGAAGACAAATAAGTACATACGACAGTGTCTGGAGGATAATGTTGTCCCTATGCCTCTTTTGTTGGGGATACCTACTTTCTTCTTTATGCAGGTTAATGCTCGTCCACATACTGCGCAAATCGTCATGGACTACCTAAATACTGTGAGAATTTATATTTTGGATTGGGCCGCTTGCATTCCTGACATGAATTCTTGGGAAATTTTAGGTAAAAAGATTAAAAAAGAGGCAACCATTACCAGAAACGATTCAAGAGCTGAAAATAGCGTTGACTGAAGAATGGCAACATATAGGTATTGCAAGAACAGATTCAGCAACTTAAAGTATGCCTAGGCGTATTGAAATCCGCCGCAGATATAGAAGAAACAATACCCGATACTAAACCTAAGGAACAGCCAAGTGTGACCAATTAAAATTTTAATTTTTCGTTAATTAAGTTAATTATTTTTTTCGTTACTTTTTACTTTCTTTTGGGTTACAGTAGACTCCTTCTTAATCGGCCACCTCGAGACCAGAGTCTGTCCGGTTGACCAAATCGCCGCTTAATCCGATGTGCAGGCATTTTCATGGGAAAAATCAAGTACGTACATACATACATACAGATTGAACGTGTTAAATTCGGAACATACGAAATATATGTATTTCGGCGCAACTCCGGTCTAGGTGGCTGGCCAACAAAAGGTTGTCAAATAATTATGTTATAAAAATCTAATACTTCAACGGGCTGCTGGATTCTAAACTAATTCAAGAACTCATTCATAGGTGGTCAAACCACCTATCGCTTCCTAAAGCCGGCCACTCACGGTACAGCGGTGTCGTTCGACATAATCGGACAGAGGCGTTGTTCAATTTGTTGGAATATCTGGTGCGCCCACACACCATACTGCGCCGCAGTATTTGTTCGGTTCTCGACCATGTCAAATCAAACAATCATTTTAGCGTCTCTTACTTTGTGTATCTTCTTCTTCAGGTGCCATCTCCGCTACGGAGGTTGGCAATCATCATAGCTATCTTAATTTTTGAGGCAGTAGCTCTAAATAGTTGTTTTGAGCTGCATCCAAACCATTCTCTCAGGTTCTTCAGCCATGAAATTCGTCTTCTTCCGATGCTTCTTCGTGTATAACTAAGCGTATACTAAGTATAACTGACTTTGTGTATAACTAAGCGTAAAAAGAAACCTAAAATAAAACGTAGATTCTGGTGCAAAGAATCCAAGATTTTGGTGAAAAATAAATCTCGTCTGCCCCTGCACCCGATTTACTGGACTGCAATGCTAATTTTAATTCTCTTTTATAGGATGTTCTAAAATTGTTAATTTTTTTCTTACATACTCTTCATTCGCATCTTTGTTTACTTCTTGGAACTTTAAAACTAGAATGTCTATTGCCTGTTTTCGGGGGTTTCTATCGTAATACATTTTACCTTTTATTCGCTATAAGCATTCTTGTATTTTATATAATCGTTGATTGAATAACCCATATAATTCAAAAAGCTCTCTTAAACAATTCTCGCTAAATCAAGCCATTTCGATTTTCTATAATATGATCAAAGCAAGTGTGTAGTTAAAAACGAAGTTGAACCACGCCGCTGTATCGTGAGTGGCCAGCTTTAGGTAAGCCCCTCTTTCGTTTATTGGAGATGGAGATTTTGAGCGGTGTTGCCAATATCATTCCTCTAGATGTTTCTAAAATAACTACAAACTTCTGAAATAATTACAAACCATTAAGTTTATTTTTGTTATTACTCTGTTGTAGTAGATTGGTAAATACAATGAAAACTATAGGCAAATATCCGATTTATTTAAAGATACGAAGAAGATATAACTCTCAAAAAGATCCGCAAATCGGATTATTACACGGCGATTGGCAACATTGACTTTGGGCTGCGCTCTAGACTATGGTGCGTTCTAAAAGGAGACGGATAGTTGAACGATATTTTATACAATGTCTAACACCGGGTATGGATTTATTTTTGTCCAAGTTTTATATTGGTATACTATTTCAAATGCAGTTCAAACAGACATATATTAAATTGTATGATCTGTTTTAAATTCGTTCAATCTGTATATCAAACACATGTACAGGAAGGTGTATATTAATCAAGATCACGGAGTATACACTTGAAAAATACTATTTATTTCTATGTACATATACATATATACATATTTTACAAACTTGTTTTAAAAAATCAGCAACTTTTTTCTGTTTCTTGACATTAAGTGAACTTTTAAAAGCTATATCTCCCCATCTTTTAAAAACCAATACGTCTATTGAAGATGACCCAGGTTGTTGTTGAATATACTTCAATGCCACCTCCATTGCAGCCCCCGCTTCGGTTTGGCCGACCTTGTCCTCTCCGTCAACATCATCATCATCAGTCTCCTTATATTCATAGGACTCTTCATGTGTTGCTAGTGTAATTATTTCGTCGTCTGCCAAAAATTCATTTTCGGATAACGTTTGGAGATCTTGAAGATTGGTGGAAGATCTACTTCTTGTGATTGTTGAAACTCAACAAGTTCCTCAATATTGGCCCAAAGTTTTCGCTAAGACTTAACGAAAGTAGAAGCAGGAATTTCTTGGAAGGCGGAAGCTAACATGTAAATTACGTCCGTTAAGTTATTTTTTTTTTATGATATCAATAAGATTGAGGTCTTCACCCTCTGCGCATTGTAAAATTTCAGACAGTAATTTAAGTCTGTATCGTCTTTTCAAGCTTTCAATCGCCCCTTGATCCATCGATTATACCAAGCTTGTCACATTAGGAGGAAGAAAGATAATTTTTATGTCATCTGTCTCTCATGTTAGGTTTCCAAGATGAGTTGGAGCATTATCCAGAAGTAGGACTGCTTTAGTGGGAAGATTTACGCTCTTAAGATGGCGCGTTACTCTCGGAACAAATTCACGCTAAAACCATTATTTGAATAGATCAGCGCTCATCCATGCTGATTATTGTGATCTGTAGAATACGGGGAAGGACGATGGATGGAGAGTGTTAAATACACGCGGTTTAGCGGACTTACCAACAACGAAAAGAGGAATTATGTGTGTTCCTGTTGCATTTTAATTTTCGCACAAGACGAATTCAATCCTCCTCTAAAGCAAAGAACAGTAGCAATTATCAATTATAACTAGATCATTTTTATATTTCTTTGTTAACAGATGTCTTGAAAAAGAATTAAAATATATTCGAAAGCTTGACAGTAAGTCAAAGAGTTTTCTTTGTCTTATGGGCCAAAATAGACTGACTGCATCCTCAAGAATCACCACTTGATATTTAAAATCAACAGTCAATAATACCACGATTTTATATATATATATATATATATATATATATATATATATATATATATTAAAATTTTTTTAATAAAATCTAACTCTCTAATCTGCTTATATTTCTAACCCTTTCCAATATTTAATTACACCGCTACTGATAAAACATTTATTAAAATTGCACCAATCACTACTTTTGTAAATATGACAACGTCGAATTTCTGTTCTGTTTAGTAAGTCAATAAACGTCAATTTAGATTATACGCCATTGAATTAATTTGACATTATGGCTACTTAAGTAAAGAACAAAAGCTATTTTTATGTTTATTTTTTGTTATTTATAATTTACAATTAATTTCCGTTGCAGTATTCAAAGTTTTATTAAAACTTAAATTGTAAATTTAGTGTTATCGTTCCTAAAGAGGTATTTTTGATAGGTAAGTGGAAACATGAACTAATTTGTCAATGTGTCATTCTTATGGTACTACTGTAGATTATTTATTCCCTACTCATTTGTTGATAAGATTTAGTAGAGTAAAAGACTTTTTGTAGTAATGCCGAGCACTACATATTTTTTTTCAGAAGAAAACATGGAGACTCCCGGTGCCAGCAGAGCCCCTTCCAAACTGGAGCAGACCCAGCAACAGGTAACTTAAAAGTCTTACAACTTTTTTTACATACAATGTTTTTTGTTTTTATTGTGTTTTAGCTTATAAGACGTTAACTGATTCGTTTTTGTGTTTGCCTGTTTTTAAAGATATATTAAATGTTTATAAAATATTTTACTAAATAAATAGATATTGATTTTAACCTTATGGTTTTAGATAAATTCAATTATATATGATACAAACAATGTACATTTTGATATCATTAGTGTTATTTTTATTTTGCACATAAGATAAGGAAATTCAGGGTGGAGATAATATAATTTTGACAGCTGTCATGTTACTGATACTGATGACAAATAACCCTTGCTCAGATAACTTGTTGAACCATGGAATACAGGGTGGATCATTAATTGTAAGATAACAGAGCAGTATTATTGCTACAAAAAATGCTCCTAGTTTGGGCCAAATAATCAGTTGTTAATATTAAGACATTAAAATATTTTTTTGCTTGTTTTCTTTGTAACTTCATTTATAAAATTAATTCCTGCAAAAATTAGTTTAAGAATATTTTGTAATTAGCAGTCTTCAGAAAAAAGTATTAAAATATAATTGCAAGTGTGTTATAAGAAAAAATGAAAAATGCACTTAATACTAATAGTTATTGAAAATGAGAAGCTTTGTATGAAATGAGAATTAGTCATGAAAAGTATTATATTATAAAAAACACATTCACTATATAAAATATATTCATATTTTACTATGGAATCATCATCAGATGGCATTACAGCCCCTAGGGAGCTCTGAACTGCCTCAAAACTGTTCCCAACGAACTCGAATATCTGTCAAATTCATACAGATACCTGAGCTTAAGTTGCCCCTTGATCTCCCTTCAACTGCCTAATTTATCATAGTTGTTTTTAGCAGGCTCCTTCCATATTTTGATTTTTTAAACTAGGTTTACCAAAACTTCTGTAGAATTCAAAATTATATCACCTTCTTCATAGTGTTTGTGAAATCTACCATATACAGTCCCTAAATACCTTTCACAAAAAAAACTCCAAATCCTGGAACTAATATCTTCAAAACAGTTGATTTTTAAGTGATGGCATTCTGGAGATTTCATTTTGAAATTTCCACATTTTTATCTGCCACATTATGGTTTTAGAGTACTACTAATTTGATTTAAGTCCTGGTGATAGGGTAGTAGTCTTAAGACAGAGTGATCTGCATCAATCATAATCTGATGTATCTCTTATGTTTTATATCTGGAGTTGTGAATATTTATTATGCTATATAATTCTGTATTTATCATTTCTTCTGAAAAGGGAATGTTATGCTGTTCTAACCATTCTTTCATTTGGTCTTTTCTACACCCCATAGTTGGACATTTTTGAACTTTGATATTGTGTATTGTCTATAATAGATACACTACAGGTAGTTATGTCAGTAATAAGTTTTTCATGAATCCATTTTTTATCATGATAGTTCATTTCACTGATAATCTCCTAACTTAGTACCAGATTTAAATTTTTAACTACCCTTTGAACACTGGCTTTGGAAACCTTCAGTGATATTTAAATTTTTATCTTCTTTATTTATAAGTTAATTGTTTTTTAATTCAACATGTCCATCATAAATAAATATTTAAAATTGTATATTTTTTAGATTTGTATCTGAGACTATTCTCAGTTTGCCAACTGATTCCTGTGAATAAATATATTTATATTCTATTGTCTCCCCAGTATTTGTCATGGTATGAGAAACCTTTTATTACTTACCTGATACTTATATTACTGATTTAGAAATATGCTTTATTGTCACTGAAAATTGTACAATTTTATGGACAAAGCTTATAACTAAAAAAAAATAATAATAACAACAATTAATATTTACTTAAACTACATAAGTATAAAACATAATAAAATATACAATCCATTGCAAAATTTCACTATATTGCAAATTGCATAATAAAACCTTACAACTAGTTTAAAAATAAGTTTAAGCTGCTGCATGTGATACCCAAATATATATAAAAATACTTTGTTACTTGTACCTAAATGAACTGTACTTTCTTAATTATTTGTTGAGGAACTCTGTCACTGAATAATAAGGTCTTTCAGATAGATAGACTTTTATCAATTTACAGAACTTAAGGGAAGAGTTGTAGATTTAAGTTGCAAAGGGAGATGGTTGTATAATTTTTTTGTCGAATATAATATAGATTTCTTTACTAACTCGGTGGATGGGATCAGTAAATACACATCAAAGCTCGAATTTCTAGTGGAGTAGTCATGACTAGGTGTTGCTGGAAAAACATGTAGGTGTTTACGAATTTAATATAATAGTTTTATCCATGTAAATTATGGGGCGACTTTCTTCCATATAATGTTTAATAAATTAAGTTTTATGTGACTCTGTATAAATATTGTCTTCATTAATTTTTTTTGTTATATGTCTCAATTTAAGCAGCCCATTCACGTTCCGACTTGCGGTCCCACTTAGTAGGACTACTAGTTGGATATTCGTCTCCACTCACGCTCCAACTTGCTATCCAACTAGCGGTCCAACTTCAGTTCAACGTCAAATAAATTTAATTTCTAACTAATATTCAGGCTTATTTCCAATTAAAATAGTAAATTTGCATAAAATGCCACAAGAAAATAACTTCAGAAAAATATAAGGAAACACTTACATCTAATTTCAGTACAACTATGATTTAATTTTCGTTGTTTGTTGATAATTCTTCCGTAGAAAATCCGGAGTGTTGGAAATTGTACCTGTATGTGAATGTCCGAAATAGATCTACAGAAAAGAAAATGATTTGCCCTAAAAAAAGGTAATTTTCGTGCAATTGAAAGTTTATTCTCTATTAAATATTTGCGAACTAGAGATTTTTGCGTAAAGTATTTCATAGAAATCTCAGACGTAACAGGTGCCGAAGGTCAATGACTGAGGACATTTTCGATCCGACCTGTGATCCGACATCCAACTTCACCATTCACGCTCCGATTTCGTCGCCAGTCGAAAGTCGGACCTTCAAGTCGTCCCACTAGATGTTCCGACTCGTACCACTAGTTGTCCAACTAATCCAACTAACCCACTCGCGGTCCGATTTCAGATCCAACTGCAGAAGTTAAACAACTAGTCGGACGACTAAAAATCGGAACGTGAGTGGCCTGTCTTAGAAGCTCGTTTTCCTTGAAATAAACCAATATTTAACAAAATAAACCTCTATTAATATCGTCCAAGTTAGATTTTAGGGTAGATTTTTTTATTTAAATTTATTTTGATCTACATTGTACTACGTGTACATATTGTATTGTACCACATGTATAATTTCTACATGTACATATTCGGCTTTCGTAGACCTTAGAAGGTTAGTGTGACGATATTTGATTCGTCAATAATAAATCGACGATATCAACGTATCGTACGGTAAAGGACACTCGTTGGCTACATACAATGCATGTAGTCGCGGAGGCAGGACGGGAAATTCTCGATTTGGTTCAACTCACCAACTCGACGGAATGGAACACGTACAGCTCATCCGTCCCGGTAGGTATTTAGATATGTAGATAGTCTTCGTTCAACACGCCAAGAATGCCTCTAAAGCCGGCCACTCACGGTACAGCGGTGTCGCTCGACATAATCTGACAGCGGCGTTGTTCAATTTGTTGGCATATCTGGTGCGCCCACACACCGTACTGCGCCGCAGTATTTGTTCGGTTCTCGACCATGTCAAATCAAACAATCATTTCAGCGTCTCTTACTTTGTGTATAACTAAGCGTAAAAATAAAACCTCAAATAAAACATAGATTTTGGTGCAAAGAATCCAAGATTTTGGTGCAAAATAAATCTCGTCTGCCCCTGCACCCGATTTACTTGACTGCAATACTAATTTTAATTCTCATTTATTAATTCTCATTTATTAATTCTCATTTATGAAATTGTTATTTTTTTTCTTACATACTCTTCATTCGCATCTTTGTTTACTTCTTGGAACTTTAAAACTATTGTCCATTGCCTGTTTTCGGGCGTTTCTATCGTGATACGTTTTACCTTTAATTCGCCATAAGCATTCTTGTTCTTTATATAATTCAAAAAACTCTATACTGTACAAAAAAACTCAACACTATTTCTGGTACGTTTTATAATATAAGTACTGTGGTATTGAGTTGCTATATTATTTGCTATGGTTAAAATTTTGATTTGTCGATATAGTGATGTAATGCGTAATATATTAGTTTTGTCTAATGATAATGGCTTTTCATTTTATTGATTTATCGGGACATTTAGTGTACGGATAGGTACAAATCGCGGCACGTCCCCAGACCCCTGAAAATCGGTACGTTCCGCGCAAATCGGGACACCTGGTAACGCTACCTGTAGGCGATTTGGCATGCTGCCGAGTAACTGGTCGACCTGGGCTTGCGGAATTCTCTCCCATTCTTCACATGCAGCATCTTTTAGTTCTCGAAATGTTATAGGGGGAGTTTCCCTTCTTGATGCGTGTTTTGTGAATGTCCCAAGCATGTTCAACGAGGTTCATGTCGGGGAATTCGAGGACCACTGTAATGTAGATATTCCTTCTTCTTCCAGAAAATGTTGTACTTTTGCTGTTCGATAAGGAGGTGCTTTGTCATGCATAAACACAAATTCATCACCTACTGCCCCTCGGAATAGACGTACGACAGGATTTAAAACTTGATGTACACAGCATCAGTGACCCTTCTCTCCAGAACCAGCAGTGGCGTCCGTGTACCACTCATAATACCACCCCAAACCATAATACTGCCACCTTCAAATGGGACACGCGGTTGGTCTGTTTCTAGTCGGACTTGTCATCCTGGGACCCTCCAAACCCGTGTTCTTCGCGAATCAGATACCAAGCAAATTTTTGACTCATTAGAGAACATCACGTTATTCCAGTTAAGATCATGTTGCACCATTTCTGTAGCCCATTGCAACCTTACTATTTTGTGTTGTTAGGGTAGTTTAGGAACACGTAGCGGTCTTCTACGATAAATTTACCGCATTT